GAGTTGTGGAGGTCCACCAGGACTTTTGGAGGTCCACCAAGAGTCCTGGAGGTCCACCAGGAATGGAGGATGGAGGCCCACCAAGAATCATGGAGGTCCACCAGGAACGGAGACTAGAAATCCACCACCAATCATGGAGGTCCACCAGGAATGGAGGTCCACCAAGAATCATGGAGGTCCACCAGGAATGGAGGTCCACCAAGAATCATGGAGGTCCACCAGGAATTATGGAGGTCCACCAAGAATCATGGAGGTCCACCAGGAATGATGGAGATCAATCAGGAGCCATCATGGTAAACCAAGAATCATGGAGGTCCACCAGGAATGGAGGATGGAGGTCCACCCAGAGTCCTGGAGGTCCACCACCAATCATGGAAGCCCACCAGAAACGATGGAGGTCTACCAGGAACCATGGAGATCAGTCAGGAATGGAAGATGGAGGTCCACCAGGAGCTGTGGAGGTCCACCAAGAATCATGGAGGTCCACCAGGAATGATGGAGGTCCACCAGAAATGGAGAATAGAGATCCACCACCAATCATGGAGGTCCACCAGGAATTATGGAGGTCCGCCAAGAGTCATGGAGGTCAAGGAACCATGGAGACCCATCAGGAGTGGTGGAGGTCCACCAGGAACCATGGAGGTCCACCAGGAATGATGGAGATCAATCAGGAGCCATCATGGTAAATCAAGAATCATGGAGGCCCACCAGGAGTTGTGGAGGTCCACCAGGACTTTTGGAGGTCCACCAAAAGTCATGGAGATCCACCAAGAACCATGGAGATCAATCAGGAATGATGGAGGTCCACCAGAAACCATGGAGGTCCACCAGGAATCATGGAGATTCACCAGGAATGGAGGATTGAGGTCCACCAAGAATCATGGAGGTCCACCAAAAATCATGGAGAATCCACCAGGAATAATGGAGATCCATCAGGAACCATCAGGGTCAAGCAAGAATCATGGAGGTCCACCAGGAATGGAGAATGAAGGTCCACCAAGAATCTTGGAGGTCCACCAGGAATGGAGGATGGAGGTCCACCAAGAATCATGGAGGTCCACCAGGACTTCTGGAGATCCACCAAGAGTCATGGGGGTCCACCAAGAACCATGGAGATCCATCAGGAATGATGAAGATCAACCAAGAATCATGGAGGTCCATCAGGAAAGTCCACGACCAATCATGGAAGCCCACCAGAAACGATGGAGGTCTACCAGGAACCATGGAGATCAATCAGGAATGATGGAGATCAACCAAGAATCATGGAGGTCCATCAGGAATGGAGGATGAAGGTCCACCAAGACTCCTGGAGGTCCACCAAGAATCACGGAGAATCCACCAGGAATGATGGAGATCCATCAGCAACCATCAGGGTCCACCAGGAATCATGGAGATCCACCAGAAATGGAGAATAGAGATCCACCACCAATCATGGAGGTCCACCAGGAATTATGGAGGTTCACCAAGAACCATGGAGATCAATCAGGAATGATGGAGGTCCACCAAGAATGATGGAGATCAATCAGAAGCGATCAAGGTCAACCAAGAATCATGGAGACCCACCAGGAATGGAGGATGAAGTTCCACCAAGAGTTATGGAGGTCCACCAGGAATGATGGAGATCCACCAAGAATCACGGAGGTCCATCAGGAATGGAGGATGGAGGTCCACCAAGAATCATGGAGGTCCACCAGGAGTTGTGGAGGTCCACCAGGACTTTTGGAGGTCCACCAAGAGTCATGGAGATCAATCAGGAATTATGAAGATCAACCAAGAATCATGGAGGTCCATCAGGAATCATGGAGGTCCACCAGAAATGGAGAATAGAGATCCACCACCAATCATGGAGGTCCACCAGGAATGATGGAGGTCCACCAAGAACCATGGAGATCAATCAGGAATGATGGAGGTCCACCAGGAATGATGGAGATCAATCAGAAGCGATCAAGGTCAACCAAGAATCATGGAGGCCCACCAGGAATGGAGAATGAAGGTCCACCAAGAATCTTGGAGGTCCACCAGGAATGATGGAGATCCACCACCAGTCATGGAGGTCTAGCAGGAATGATGGAGATCCACCACCAGTCATGGAGGTCCACCAGGAATGGAGGATGAAGGTCCACCAAGAACCATGGAGATCAATCAGGAATGATGGAGATCCACCAAGAATCACGGAGGTCCATCAGGAATGGAGGATGGAGGTCCACCAAGAACCATGGAGGTCCACCACCAATCATGGAGAATCCACCAGGAATGATGTAGATCAATCAGGAACCATTAGGGTCAACCAAGAATCACGGAGGTCCATCAAGAATGGAGGATGAAGGTCCACCAAGACTCCTGGAGGTCCACCAAGAATCATGGAGAATCCACCAGGAATAATGGAGATCCATCAGGAACCATCAGGGTCAACCAAGAATCAGGGAGGTCCACCAGGAATGGAGAATAGAGATCCACCACCAATCATGGAGGTCCACCAGGAATTATGGAGGTCCACCAAGAGTTGTGGTGGTCAAGAATCATGGAGGTCCACCAGGAGCTGTGGAGGTCCACCAGGAGTCTTAGGGAGAAGATCCTGAGGAGCTTCTGGAAGTTCCTGAGATTTCTCCAACCCTGGGAGGTCCCAAAAATCACAAAAATGAAAGATTTTGGGCGTTTCTGGAAGCTCCTGAGATGTCTCCAACTCTCCAAAAATCGTAAAAATGAAAATTCTGGGAGCTCCTGGAAGTTCCTGAGATGCCTCCAACCCTCCAAAAATCACAGGAATGAAAATTTTGGGAAGTTCCTGAGATGCCTCCAACACGGGGAGGTCCCAAAAATCAGGGGAATGGAAATTTTGGGAGCTCATGGAAGTTCCTAAGATGTCTCCACCCAACCAAGATGACACAAAAATCACAAAAATAAAAATTTTGGGAGCT